GCAGCTCAGCACCTGAGCGGAAACCAAGAGTCTGACGCTTAACTGAGCCACCCAAGGGCCCCCTGATTGATTTTGTTAACCTGTACCCCCAACATGGACTTAAACGCACAACCTGCAGCTCACAGGCCACAGGCTCCAGCGCTGAGCCAGCCACCCGCCCCCCCATCTTTTTATCATCTACATTTAATTGATTTTGATTTGTGAGTTGAAACCTTCCCAGGTTTAGGTGATAGTATTAGAACCTTAAAAAGTTTTAGATTCGCTGCGTTTACATTTATTTCACACGTTAAGACTTACTTAGGGTCCAGGAAGGTTGGTTTGCTACGTGGGATGATTACAGTCAAACAGGGACGCAAAGGTCGTAGGTTCACAAAGGCACTTAACAACGCTTTAAACTATTTCACGGAACTGTGACTCATCCCCACCTGCTCCTCCCGGCAGCAGCCCCCCTGCTTCGTGCTGCCGCCCCTGGGGGAGGGGGAGGGACCAGTGGGCACCAGTGGGGGGGGGACGCGGGGAGGGAGGAGGGGGTGGGGGAGGAGGGGGAGGGGGAAAGTCAGAGGAGGGGGAGGGGGAAGGAGGGAGGAGGGGGAAGGAGGAAGGAGGAAGGGGAAGGAGGGAGGAGGGGGGAGGAGGGAGGAGGAGGGGGGAAGAGGGAGGAGGGGGTCGCGCTCCCGTCCGCAGCCTGGCCTCTCGCCCCGCCCCCCTGCGCTCTAGTTCCCCACCGCACCAGTCCCCCACCGGGTCTGCACGCAGGCTCTGGAGGAGTCAGGTTCCCGCGAGAGACGGCATCGGGGGCGGGGCCTCGCGTGGGGGCGGGGCCTCGCGGGCGGGGGCGGGGCCAGAGCCCGGGAGGCTGGGCCCCCAGGGGGCTGACCCGGTGGGCGCAGGCCGCTGGGGCCGAGGTTTCCCAAGAGCGCAGGCGCGGCGGAAAGGGGGGAAAGAGCTAGAGGGGAGTGACAGGTCCTGAGATAGGGGAGCAGCCCTGAGGCGTGGCGGGTCCTCCGCTGGGGACGGATCCCCAGGAGCAGGACCGGTCCTCATGGGGGTCGGGTCCCAGGGGGGACAGGTCCTGGGAGGATGCTGGTGAGGGAGGTAGAGTGGGGGGTGGGGCCCCAGGTGTGGGTTCGTGTCCTGGGGACCGCGATCCTGAGGGGGAGGGTTGGTCCTGATCCTGAGGGATGTGAGGAGGGTTTGGGGGGAGGGGCTGGGTTCTGATGGAGGAGGGATGGGTCCTGGGGGAGGGGTGGGGGGCGACCGGAGACGGCCGGGAGAGGACAGACGGACTTAGAGGGGGAAGGGAGCCCCTGGTTTGGGGGAACTCAGGGGCAGGGGGCTGGGAAACAAGGGGGTAAAGGGCTCTTCTGGAAAAAAAGAAGTCGGCTGCCCCCTGCCCCCGGAAGCTTGCAGCCACCTGCAACCCCCAAGAGAAGACAGAGGGGGCAGCAGGCAGTGGGCTGGAGGAGGGGGAGGGGGAAGAGACGGGAGGGAGGAGGGGGCTGATGGGCGAGGGGAAGGAGGCGCGGGGGGTACCAGGTAGAAGGAGCCACAGAGCCCCCCCCCGCCCGCAGCTGCCCGTCCACCCCGACGGCCTCTGCGTTGAGGGACCAGGCGTGAGCAGTGGGGGGGAGCAGTCGCTGTCCTGTCACCTGGGCCCTGAGCGTGGCGGGCTCGCTGTGTCTCCTGCCACAGCCCTGCCTTCCAGTCCATCTGCCCTCTGCTCACCCCCGAGCCTCAGGAGCACGAGGCCTTGGCGGCCTAAGCGCAGCCCGGCTCTTCCTCCCACCTGCCATGGTCGCGGAGCCAAGGCCCGGAGCTCCTGGCACCTGGCACCTGTCCTTTCCGTGTGAAGTCAGTGCAGCCGGCAGCCACCGCGCAGCCACCGGGCCGTCACCTCCTGCGGCTCCCGTGGCCCCAGCTGACCCAGACCCCGGGCCTGCGCCCTGCTCGGAGGGACGCGGGCCTGTCTTGTCCCCACCTGCAGCTCGCCTGGTCTCGGTCCGAGCTGCACCCGCATTGCCTCCAGCGCCCCCACCTTGCGGCCGCCGCCCGAGCCGCGGAGCCCCCCGCCCCGCCACCCGACCGCCGCTCATGCCCACGCTCCGCATCCCCATCCCGGCTTCAGCTTTCCCTGAAGCCGCGCCCGCAGTTCCCTCACCTCCCGCCCTCCCTCCCTGGGCGCTGGGAGAGCTTCCGGCACCTTTCCCGCGTCTTCCCACCTCTACAGAGAGGCGCCCCATCCAGGAAGCTGGGCCGGCTCCGCCCCAGCCCTGCTCCAGGAACCGGCCGACGGGTCCTTCTGGCTCTCTGCGCTCCTCCCCCGCCGGGGCTCCCGGTGCTGGGGTTCAGGTCTAAGCAGCTCACTCCCCCCGGGTCACTCCCTCGCCCCCTCGTCCCTCCGCAGCCTCATTCTGTTGAGACCACGAAGTCCCCTCCAAGCTGTGTCCTGGCCTCTGTGACATTACACTTTGAGGTTTCCTGGCATCTCCGCTTCTCTCCTGAGCTGGCTCTGCTCTCCCCTCCCCGGTGGCCTCACCACTCCTGCGGCTTCAGCCTTCACCGGCCTTGCACCCTCTTCCTCCTGCCCTGACCCTGCCTGGAGCTCAGGGTTGCGTCACCGCTGCCGCCCGCTTGCGCCACACTGGTGGTGTCACTGGTGTCGCTGGCCAGGCTCTTTCCTCCTGTGACCCTGCTGACCTGCTGACCTAGCCTTGCTGACCTGCCGACCGCGGCGGGGCTCGGACCAAGGGTTGGGAGGACACAGTGCCATTAGCCCAGAAAGAGAAAGTTGAGGTCATGGTCACAAGAGCAAATCAAGAGTGAAAGCTTGATCCCTGAGGAAGATGAGCCACAAGGCGCGGGCAGGGGCAGGGGTGGAGTGAGGACATGGCCAGAGAAATGGGTCCCCCTGGGCTGGACCGGGGACAGGGACCTCTGTAGTCTCAGGAGGCCACAGCACCGGTCACCCAGCCGCCTCTGTGGGGACAGAGACACCTTCTGGACGCCCTTTTGTCCCTCACGTCCAAGCACTTCATTCTTTTTAATGACGTGAGCTGATTGCTCTCCCCCTGGTTCCTCCGTGGTCCCACCTGATGCCTGAGAGTCTCGGCTCCTCAGCTGTCTGGCTCGCTCTGGTCCCCTCCAGGTCCCTTCCCAGAAGAGGGGAAGCACAGACACGGGGCCCCTGCCAGGAACCTCCCGGCGCCATTGGGTCATCAGGAACAGGTCCAGGCTCCCTGCAGGGTCCCCTGAACCCCTTGCTCATCTGACCTCTGCTGACCTCATCCACATCTCACTGGCCCTGATACCCCCTCACTCACAAACACACAGTCACACACACACACACGCAGCCTGGGCTTTAATGCTGATGTTTCATGGTCCTGCAGGCCCCCTCCTTGCGCGAGCTATTCTTTGTCCTGTACCCTCTTCCCATCTCTTCCTGGCTCACCCCCACAAAGCCTTCCTACCCCCCTAAGTTGGACCCTTCAGGAGGTGGAAGTCTTTACATTGTCCAAGGATTCTTTTAAGAATGAAGCCTAGGGATCCCTGGGTGGCGCAGCGGTTTAGTGCCTGCCTTTGGCCCAGGGCACGATCCTGGAGACCCGGGATCGAATCCCACGTTGGGTGCATGGAGCCTGCTTCTCCCTCTGCCTATGTCTCTGCCTCCCTCTCTCTCTCTCTCTCTGTGTGACTATCATAAATAAATTAAAAAATTAAAAAAAAAGAATGAAGCCTAAATGGGGAAAACTTATTTTTTTCTTAAACTTTGGGATTTCTTGTACTTTGTCCCTCCCCACGTCTTTATTTTTGTGGGCCTGATGTCCTGGTCATTGTAGTAAAGCCTTCAGAGGAGGGGGGGCTGTGTCCTCGAATCTGTGGGGGTGTGTGGAGACCGGTGGGATGAACAGCCGGGCTGATAGCAGAGAGGCCGGGGCAGGGATCCGAGGAGGCAGCTTGGAGAGCAGAGCGGGGAGCAGGCTTGGGGCAGAGGCGGGGGCACAGGCCCAGGGGGCTGGCATCCCAGGCCAGGGGCGCTTCTTAATCAGAAACACTGTGCTTTGGAGGGAGCTGGGCGCCAGGGGGTCGCTGGGCCTCAAGACCCCTGGAAGGGACCTTGGCTTGTGCTGGGGCCTGGGGGTGGAGGGCAGGGAGCCGCGGGGACGGAGGTGGCAGGGCGTGGACGGCCCAGGGTGCGCTTGGAGCTCGGAAGGAGAGGGGTTATCAGCCCCAAAGGCGTGCAGAGGCTTAGACAGGGCACGTAGGAAGCCATCGGGGCCTTCCTAGAAGCACCACCCCTGAGGGCCGGGGTCGCGGCCCAGCTGCGGAGGCCCAGCGGCAGACACCGTGAGAGCTCGGGGCTCCTCTCAGGGAAGGATGCTAGTTCAGGCCCCCAGGGATGCCGGGCTCTGTCGCTGCAGCCCATGTGACCCCCACCGACACCCTGTGAGCTGCGGTCTCCCGCTGCCTCGCCCTGGGACCTGGCCACCGCTGGGAGTTTCCTCTGTTATCTCCCGGGCCACCTGGTTCCCACCCCCCATCAGCACAGTCGCCCCCACCCAGAGCACCTGCTGCCCTGCCTCTTCCGTGTCCCCCTGGCCTCCGGGTGTTCCTCAGCCCGGGGCTCAGTTAGTGGCACCAAGGACTCGCCCTCTGCCCCTGGCTCCTGGGCTGTCACCTGCCCACTGGCCATCTCTAGGTGCCGAGGAATGGGGTGCGACAGGTGGCGGAAGGGAGGGGAGGCTGAGGGTGAGGGACTATTGGACCCAGTCGGCGGCACGGCACGTGTGGGTTCCGGAGCTGGGAAATTCTGTCTTTGAGGCTGCTTGGAAGTGGGGCTGAGGGGAGCAGAGCAGGCTCCGGCCATCGGGGTGGGCGGGCTGGGGCCTACCGCATCCCCAGGTCCCGCATCCTCCCCTCCCACCCCTCCCCGGCTGGGGCCACTGTCCCAGCAGCCTGTAACCGACTCCCCAAGACCCCCCTTCCCCTCCTTGCTCGCTTACAGTTTCCCAGGCGCTGAGAAGGGTTGGCCGTCGGCTCGCCAAGCCCCGAGCTGAACCCGCTGATGCCCAGGCCACCCGCCTGGGTCTTGATCGCCGACCTGAGCTCGTGATTCTCCCGAATGAGCCGCACCAGCTTCTTCAGTTCCTCGTTCTCCCTCACCAGCCTCTCGATCTGATGCCGAAGCACCTCATAATTGGTGAGCAGAGACATGCCCCGGGGCAGCGGGGCAGGTGCCGCCCGAGGGGGGCTGCACCTGGAGGCTGCCCAGGGCCCCGGGCCTTGCCCCGCCTGGAGGAGGGCGCAGGGGTTTGCGAGTTGCAAGGTCGGCCCAGCGGGCTCTGGGTATTGTGAGGTCAGAGCTGCCCTCCTCCTTGCCCTCTCTGCTCTGGCCCTGCCCCGGCCTGGGGGGCACGGACCTTTCCTCTGCTGGGCGAATGCCGCTGTGCAGGCACCTGCTCCGTCCAGCGCCCTGCGGCCTGGGCTCGCGGGCTTCCCTGCGGCCCGTGTGGGTCATGCCCCCCGCCCCGGCTCCCTGCACCCGGCTGCTACTGCCGTCTGGCTCGCTTTACACGGGGGCCGTGCACCCCCACCCAGCACTCAGCACAGAGCCTAGGTGCGCCGCAGGCAGGTAAGCAGTGAGCGTCCACTGGGCAAACACTCAGTGCCCAGCTCCGTGGCCGGGGCGCCCTTTCCTTGGGAGGTTGGGCACACCTGTCAGCCTTCCCCTGCGGACATCATTACCTTGGCCACACGCTCTTCCGACCCAGGTGCTCAGAGCCTTCCTCGGCCTGCCGGCCCAGCGGCTCCCCTGTCCAGGCAGCTGGCTCCCCATAGCTTGGACTTCCTGGTCCTGGGGCTCCAGCTCCCCTACTGCAAATCCCCCGAGGCGCCCCTCGGCGCCCACGCCTCTCTTCTCTGACTCCTTGAGTTTTCGTGACCGTGGTCCTTCAAGATCCGAAGCCATGCGCCTGGTCAGGTCGTCAGGTTCCGAGAATTCAGACCTGGGAGTCCTCACCACGCTGAGATCCCAGCGGGCCTGACCGTGGGAGTCAGGTGAGGCCGCATCCGGGCATCTCCCCGGCTGTGTCGGCGGCGGCGTCAGACGGGGAGGCGCGCGAAGCCAGGGTCCAGGCTCCCGGGAGGCAGGTGGGGGTGAGGCCGGGCTTGGAGGCAGCCCTAGTGGAGCATTCTACCCAGACCTCACAATGGGGGCCCGCCCCCACCCTCCTCCGACACCCCGGACTGTGACCCTGGCCAAGCGACTTGGGCCCTGGAGGCCTCCGCTGTCGGTCGGACACCCCAGCAGGGGCAGCAGCCTCTGTGGGCTTCCCGTGCATCTGGGCCGGTTCAGCGGGCGGCTCAGCGTGGCCAGCCTCGGGTGCCCAGGTGTTCAGTCAAACACTGTCTCGGAGGTCACGGCGCAAGGATTTTGTAGAGTAACAACATGTAGTTCAAGGAGACGACCCTCAATCCCATGGGTAGACACAGTCCAGTCACCTGAGGCTTCCGGGGAAGAAGGGATTTGGCCTCGAGCCTGCCTTAGTTTCCCGGCTGCTGGCCTGCTCTGAGGGTCTTGGGCTTGCCGGCCCCACGACCGTATGAGCCACTTGCTTGAACTACATCTCTGACTATAGACATTGGACTGACACGCCGTCCATGTCGCCCTTTATACCACTGCTGCTTTCCTCCCGAACCCATGGACGGAGCACCAACAGTGTGGCAGGCGTGGCGTTAGAAATTGGGGGTTTAAAAAAAAGAAATTGGGGGTTTAGTGAAAGATGAAACTGTACACCTGAAACTGCTACCCACCCTGTATGTGTACTACACTGGAATTAGAATAAAAGAATGTAAAAAATAGAACAAGGGGGCCCGCCTGGGTGGCTCAGTGGGTGAAGCGTCTGCCTGCGGCTCAGGTCATGACCCTGGGGTCCTGGGATTGAGTCTCCACGTTGGGCTCCCTGCTCATGGGGGTGCCTGCTTCTCCCTCTGCCTCTGCCCTTCCCCCTGCTGGTGCACGCTCTCTCTGTCAAATAAATTTAAAAAATAGAACAAAAGAAAGAAAGAAATTGGGGCTTTAGTGCTGCTCCTAATCAGCCAGTGTTGGTGCTGTCGGGCTGGGGAGCAGGGGCAGCGGGAGCCGGGAGGAAGCCCTTGGGGGGTGGACATGAGATGGGGCGAAGGAGAGTCTGGGGGAAGAGCTCTGCAGCCGGGGGAGCACCTGGGCCCCTACAGGGCAGTGTGTCCCCCCAAAAGCTGCAGGGCCTGGCTGCCAGGTGGGCCCAGAACGAGGCGTGGAGTGTGTGGGAGGCCGGGACGCCGGAAGCGTCGAACGGACTTAGGGAAAGACGTGGCTCAGGTTTGGGTGAGCTGCGGAGACCGTGCCGCCCCCACCCCCCCACCCCACCAGCCCGGTGTCCCCGGCTCTGGCCCCTCCTGGGCTCTGCTCACCACCTCCAGCCTCTCCGGCTCCTCTCAGTTCGTCCCAATTTTTGTACTTTGTGGTGCCGGTTCCCTCGCGGGGCCAGCATCCTGCGTTTGGCTTGAGTTTGGGATGGAACAGCAGGAGTTTGCAGGGAGCAAGGCTTCACCCAAAGCCCTCCACAGGCACCTGGGGACCTGTGTGTCGGCAGGGGGGGGCGGGGGGGTTCGGGGAGGAGGGCTGGCCTGCACCCCCGGCCTGCGCTCCGGGAAGGGGACACCAGCATGCCCTTCCCGGGCTCCTTAGGAATTCACCGCACACCCCTTCCCTTCCAGTCCTCACTTGCTGCTGCTGAGTCAGGCGACCCCCCCTGGGCTCCGGTCACCGGCTCTGCACAGTCTGTCCCCGTTCACATTTGCCTCCTGAGAGTCCGCTCAGAGCGGCTTGGCGAGCCCGCCCGGTATCTTGCTCCCTTCCTGGCTTGGGACTCAGTGCAAGGCTCCTTGTGAAGGCCACCTTCCCGTGGCCACAGGGTGTCAAATAAAGGACGGGGACCCGGGCCCTGGAGCCCTCCGTCCACGCGGACAGGCTGCCCCTCGGGGTGGGGGGAGTCCCCGGGAAGCAGCCGTCCAACAGACCCGCTGTGCCGTCCCCACCAGCTCCATCCTTCCCATGTACCCGCCGTGGCCAGTCACGACCTCGGGTCGCAGCCCGGGGGAACAAGGAGCTGCTGGGAGGAATTTGCCAGGTCTGTGCCCCCCAGATCCAGCTCCCCGGACGCCAGCAGTGAGCTGCTGACTGGGCGCTGCGCTGTGGCAACTGTCAGTGTCGCGTGCGGAGAAGCCCCTGGTGCAGCCCCACGTGTCCCGCACCTGGTGTCTCCCCGGGCCAGTCCAGGCTTCCCTCCCTCTTGCAGCTGTCAGGGCCCCGGCCTGCTCCTCCTCCCTCCAGCCACGCCCCTTCTGGTGCGGCCTCTCCCGGCTGCCCAGGGAGGGGGGCTTGTGGACCCCCTCAATCTGGGCTCTGCTCAGAGGGAAGCCTCAGGGTGCTGTCCCCGGAGAAGACAAGGACACAGCACACACTCTGCGTCCTAGAGGCCAGTACGGGTCCTGGCCCATGGCAGGTGCTCAGTAAATATTTGAATGCATTTTTATTTGACTTTTTAAAAAATTATTTATTTAAGATTTTATTTATTTGTGAGAGACACAGAGAGGCAGAGACACAGGCAGAGGGAGAAGCAGGCTTCATGCGGAGGCTGATGCGGGACTCAATCCCAGGACCCCGGGATCCTGCCCTGAGCCGAAAGCAGATGCTAAACTGCTGAGCCTCCCAGGGATCCCCAAAAATATATTTTCCAAAATAATTCTGGCCATGAAGCTGGAGAAGGGATGCTGGTTGCCGTGCACTGCCGTGCGCTAACCGGCCCGTCAGTGTCTGAGGACGTGGCCTGGACTCATGTGGCTCCGGGGGCCCCTCAGGCCTGTGGGGGGGCCCCGGACAGAGCCGCTCAGCCCAGGGCCCTGGAGCCAGAGCTGCTAAGAGGGGCCTCAGGGGCAGGTCCTCCAGGTCTTGGCTAAGGGCAGAGTCTTTGGGGAATGTGGGGTCTCAGTCACCCATCGTGAGGGGCAGAGGGGAGACCAGGAGGTCAGTCCCTGTCGGTCCCTGAAGTTGACATTATTTGGGGGCGGCCAGGAGGGGAGAGCGGGGTGTCCTGTTGTCCAGGAGCTCAGAGGCCCCAGGTGGGGTGGGGGACTGGCAGCGTGCAGTGGGGCTCCAGACCCTGGGCTCCAGGGGTCAACTGCGCGGTTGCCTCCCCCAGCCCTGACCTCGGCTGATTCCTCCGCCTCCTTCAGACCGTGGCTGGTGAGCCACCCATACGGGGCCTCCCCTTGGCCACACGGGAGGAGGGACGGGCCTCGCTTCCGGCTGAGTTGCGTCCTGCGTCTGTCCAACGGTGACGATGGCCCCTCCTCCTCCTGCACCTGAGCCCAGGTGAGCCCCATGGCCAGCAGCCTCTGGCAGGTTCCCTGGGTCCACCAGCAGCTCTTTCAACGGCTCTCAGTGCATCTTCGTGGATGAGTGTGTGGACCGCACCCGCTTCCCTCGGCCTCCAGGAGTCCAGCCTCTCCCCAGCCCCGCGCCAACCCCTCACCTGCCTCCTTGGGGCCCCCAGGATCATTCCAGGGGCCACAGGGGCCTGCCCCACCCCCAGCCCGGGCCTCCCCTGCTCCGGGACCCAAGGGCCTAACTCCACTGGCCCCGCAGCCGAGGGCAAACCTGGCTCCTGAGTGGGGGAGCCAATTGGCCTTGGCCGCAGCCCTCGCCCAGCCCAGCGCAACGGAAATAGATCCTTCCAAAGGAATTTTCATCAGGAATCTGCAGGCACAGGCGGGGAAGTGGCCAGCCACAGGGACCCCGTCCTAGGCCCATTCTGGAGCTTGGCCTTCTCCTGGGTGGGCAGCAATGGGCCTGGTGCTTCCCGCAGGCCGGATCACCACACCCACCCTCGGTTTGTCTTGGGGGTCAGATGACATCCGAGGGTCGGTACTGAGGTCAGTGCTTGCAGGTGGCGTGCGACACCGTGACTCCAGGCTTTCCAGGCTCAGGGCCTTCCTGTGCCAAGCCCGGCGCCACTGGAGGACGGGCCGCTCTGACCGTGTGTGGGAGCTGGACGGTCTCAAGGCTGACAGACCCATACTGGGGGGTCCTGAGCAGGTCACCAGGCCTCGTGTCCAATGTCGGTGTGGGCGCAGGATGAGGGCCCAGCCTGCGGGGTCCCGCCGGCCCCCTC